AAAAGCATTCGATAGTCGTGGCGCGACGATAACCATTTAGTCGCACGGCGAGGTTGTCACATATGCTTTAGTATACAAATGAATGAATGATTTTATTCGAATAAAACCATTCGATAGTTGAAATCATTCATTCAGTAACCATTCGATAGTCTAATTCATTCGATAGTTCCCATCGCTACATAAAACCATAACCATGGTAAGCAACGGAATACACCCTAAAGGTACGAAATTCACGTAACATTGACATTTTTCATCGCTTTATCCACATTTGACTATTAGATACCTGAAAAATTGCGATGGTGCCAATATGTGCTCAAGGCTATCCAGAAAACGATTCGCACGGAAACGAGAATACCAAAATCGGCTGCTTGGCGTTCCGCTAATAGAATACTTTCGCTTACCGCTTTGAAACCGTAACGTTTTTATGTCAAATTTCTAGAATTCGGGCCCTGTGGCCTCTATAACAAGCGTGAATGAGCAGTGTGTGTCATTTTTCTGTGTCAAAGTTTTTTTTCTGTTTGTATACTTCATTATTACAGATGTTTTCTTTAATATCGTTGTTTTTGTTATCCTTATTAATGTTTATTAAAACCAGAACTGCATCATTACTCTAACGTTTTTTTTTAAATTTAGTATAGGTGTAGGGTTATATAACATTAAGACTATAGTCTCCATGCAAAACCACCTCGTCATATTGAAAAATAACATGAAAAAGTAATGGTAATTAAAAAATTGCAAATCATTGGTGCCAAATTGATTTCGTTCTTAAAAATTAACCAAGGTATATATGTTAAAATGAGACAATAAATAAAATGCTCAGCAGAAATGGGTCTGGCCGGAAAATGATGTTTTAGGAAAATTTACCCATGAAATAAGTAAAATTTAAGATAAAAACGGAGTTTACGAATTAAAGTTAAAAAATGATGAATACGATTTCCCCATTTTATTTTACAAAAAAATGTATTTGAAACTTTTTAAAGAACTTGAAAATCGCAAAATGACACAAATTATTCATTTTCAATAGTTTCTACGAATTCCTTAATAAGATTTTTTTTTGATAAGATTTTCTCTAATGAATTTTTAACTAGTTCACACACAAAATCGTATTGAACAAATTTCATTTCCAAGAATACTTAATTAAATTACTTTACTCTACTACTCGGTATAATAGAATTTCATTCCAATTTTCTAAGGTCTTCTACATGTTCTCTACTAATGTTCTCTACGAATGTTTTATCAAATTTTACACCCTCCTCATACGCGCGCCTCCTAATTTGAAAGTCATCAATAAAGGGCTGGAGAGACCGAGGCAGGCCCCTCAAAGGGATCCCTAAGGACTTCGGGTCTCGACTCTTAGGTGTAGAGGTATAATAAGCACGTATATTAAAGGTTTCCAGGGATTCTTAGTTAGCATTTCGGCTTGCTGTGGACTTAATGAGCTCCAAATCCGAATTGTAATTTGATTGGAGACGAATAAGACCGTAGTCTGAAGATGGGGAAGATTACGTTTGGATTTAGGGGAAACTTGTATAGTTTAAGACAAAACATATATACGTATAAAGGAATAGAATTGGGAAAGTGTGTACATTGAACAGGTTTCAAAAAACTAATACTTAGTTGACTATCTTATGAATGATTTAAAGTTAAGAAAATTACAAGTGCGAGTCGGACTCGTCCACCAAGGGTTCCGTATAAACACTATATTTTTTATGATTTAATTACAAATCTATAGTTTTCAATGTTTCTAAATGTGAAGAAACAAAATACCAAACCAAAATAGTCTATGTCTGTGTGTAGATTTCAAAATGAAAACAACCATCAACAATGTCGACCTCCGCCATAATTATTTTGTCTTAAAATCTTTGTTTTTAGGTTGTCTCGCACAAAAAATGTCTGGCAAAAGCAAATTCATCGTTTAATTTAATAATATATTTTCATATTTTTAATGTCCTTTCTATATATATCATTATTTGTTGCAACAAAATATTTTTGTTTGAAATATAGATTTTTATTTGTTTTTCTATATCACGGTTCTTTCAAATAAAAATATATATATATAAATTAATGTAAGTAGAACGCGTTCTTATGAGTTTAAAGGTTCACCAGCCGATAAAAACATATATGTTTAGTTAAAAACGCCAAATCACTAGCCAACATGGCGGAATTTTAATTCGTTATTTTATAAAATTGACATGGAGTCGGACACAAATCATCTACATTACACTTCTCAGTTTTGTCCTCGTACTACATAAAAGGAATACAAATAGAGTAAGTCTTGTCTTGCTGAAATCCGTGCGACATACAAAAATAAACGTGGCAACGCCGCTCCGCACCGTCCTCGCCGCGACTCGCCCCACCAATGTCATTATAAGTTTTGTCGTCAACGAGGTTCGTGCGTCGAGTGTTTTGTAAAGTGTTTTTTACGTGTTTACGGCGAAATGGGTAGAAACAGGTCCAAAAATGAAATTAAAAAGAGGCTGAAACGGAAGCAGAATCGCCTAAACCAACTTTGGGAGCGTTTAGAGGATGTATCAAGTAAGTATTATCAGTTTTTTCATAACCTAGGTAAAACAGTGCACATGGAAACGGGGGGGAGGCGTGTTTTCAGTAAATTATCGCCTCTATACTCTCTGGTTAACCATACTTTAAATAAAGAATTGCACAACTACGTGTGAATTTTAATATCTAACCTAACCTAACTCCTTGACCCAGTGGTCTTGCGAAGTATGGTTGACAGTAATATTTTGTTTGAAGGCCCAGTGGTCAACAAACTTAATAATTATGCGTTTCATTGCAGGCGATGACGCATCATCCTCCGGCAGTGATGATTCTTCCAGTGAAGATAATCACTCTGGTTCCGAAAGGGGAAGGCGGAGCCCAGTGAATCTCCCGCTTGAACCCATCGATAGCCCGGCGATAAATGCAGGCAGTAACAAACCAAACACCTCGGACGCAATAATTACCTTATTAGGTATATACAAAAGTTACCCAACAGTTTGGGAAACAATAATAAATGTAATTATTTATTATCATAGGTAAACAACCAAACCTTACCCAACAGTTTGGAGAAAACATTCACGAAGATATTGTAATGCGCTGGAGCGAATTTCTAAGAAAAGGGGTTGAAAAAGATGACAAAAAAGCTTTGATCGACAGTTACCCTATCGTAGGAAACTGTAAAGAATTACTCGCACCTAAACTAAACATGGAAATTGCAACATGTTTAAACGAAAGCTTGAACCGACAAGACATGTACCTTAGTAGGATACAAGACGAAATTGGGGTAGCCATCTCCGCTTTAGGGAAACCTTTAGGCAATTGCTTCCCTAATCCAAGCGAACAGTCTAATGAATTCTTAAAACCCAGTATTGATGCGGCGAAAATCTTAACTAATGTCCATCATAGCATATCTACACACAGGCGCCATGTTATTCTACCTCATCTGAACAGCTCGGTGAGGAAGATCATCGAAGACTACCCAATAGACGAGTTTTTATTTGGGGACAAGTTTGCGGAGAAACTGAAGTCATCCAAGGAAATACAGAAGACGTCCTCAGATCTTAGATTACAGAACCCCTCCACCAGTTCAAAAAACTACCAGCGCCCCAAATACAAGTCCAAATACAAGAACCAATGGAACTACAAAGCGAAGGGTCGGAACACCCAAGGGGTCTCATACAACCAAGCCCGGCTGAAAAAGAAAAGGACCCAATATTAATGGTGAGCATAAAAAATGATCCGCACATGTGTGTCGGCAAGACTAGATCTAGATTACATTATTGGGAAATGCTGACAAGTAACCCTCAAGTTTTAAGTTGGTTAAGGGGAATTAAATTTAACTTCATATCATCCCCCCCTACAAGACATTCCATTAAAGAACCTAAGTTAACACGGTTAGAACATGAAAATTGTAAAAAATTAATTGACAGCATGTTGGAAATGGGCGCCATTTCCCGTTGTACAAGTTCAAAAACACAATATGTTTCTTCATATTTTCTAAGACAGAAAACAAACGGTGAGTACCGTTTCATACTTAATTTAAAATCTTTAAACTGTCACTTAGAAGCCCCCCACTTTAAACTTGAGGATTATCGCACTGCCATTAAATTAACATACCCTGGTTGTTTTTTTACCCTAGTAGACTTAAGGGATGCATATTTTTCAATACAGATAAATGAAAAATATAGGAAATTTTTGCGGTTTTGCTTTCAAAACGAACTATTTCAATTTAATTCCTTACCTTTTGGTCTCTGTTCGGCCCCGTTCATCTTTACAAAGATAATGAAGCCCGTACTTCATTTCCTTAGAACACGTGACATAATCTGCGTTTGTTATTTAGATGATTTTTTCCTAATCAGCCCTACTATGGAGAAAAGCAAAAAAGACATCACCTTAACCCTACAAGTGTTGACAAATCTTGGTTTTAACGTAAACTACGATAAAAGCCAGTTAAATCCCAATAATACTTGTTGTTTTTTGGGCTTTTTCATAGATTCGAAAAACATGCGTCTTTCGCTACCCTCAGAAAAAAGCCAGCTAATCATATCTTTAATCAATGACGTGTTGTTAATACGTATCTGTTCCATAAAGCTTTTCGCTAAAATAATTGGTCACTTAGTAGCAGCCTGCCCAGCAGTAAGGTACGGACCACTGTATATAAAATCTCTCGAGGGGGAAAAGTATAAAGCCCTAAAGAGCGGAAAATCATACAATCATAATATATCCTTATCGCGAGGGGTCAGATCAGACCTTGAGTGGTGGCAGAATTCATTAGCATGTTCATATGTTCCAATTTTTCAAGGCAACTACGACATCACTATTTTCACAGACGCTTCAAACAGTGGTTGGGGCGGTAGTTGTAATAACGAGAACATTCACGGTTTTTGGCTACAAGAAGAATCAAAAAATCACATAAACTGGTTAGAATTGGCAGCAGCTTTTCATTGTTTAAAAGCGTTTACCAAGTCTTTTACACATATGAACATACTATTGAAAATAGATAACGTCACTGCCATAGCATTAATTAATAAAATGGGTAGCGTTAGACACAGAAAACTTAACACTATTACCAGACATATCTGGCAATATTGCGAATCAAAAGGCTTATATATTTTTGCAACATACATTAGCTCTAAAAATAATAAACAGGCAGATTCTGAGTCTCGCTGTAAAAATATTGATACGGAATACGAATTAAATAATATTCATTATAAACGCTTATGCCGCATTCATGGAACTCCGCAAATAGACCTTTTTGCCAGTCGAATTAACGCAAAATGCGCAAGGTATAATTCTTGGAAACCGGATCCGGGAGCATCGGGAACTGATAGTTTTACCACATGTTGGTCACAGGATTTCTTTTATGCCTTTCCCCCATTTAGCCTAATATTAAAAATGCTTAATAAAATCATAATGGACAAGGCAGAAGGTCTAGTCGTAGTACCATGGTGGCCCACACAACCTTGGTTCCCCCTGTTTAAGAGATTGGTTGTGGGGAAAATATTATTCTTTAAGCCAAGTAAAACCTTACTTTTATCGCCTTTCAGGAAACCTCACCCCTTATGGCGGACAATTACCCTGGCTGCCGGCCATTTATCAGGGAAGCCTTTGTAAAGAAAGGGTTTCCCGAAGAGGCCATTGCATCCATAGTAGCATCAGTAGCTGACAGTACACTAAAACAATATGACACCTGGTTTAAAAAATGGTGGGGTTTCTGTTGTGACATAAATCACGATAAATGGTCCTACGACCTTACTACCTTTATTAAATTTCTAAGTATACAAGTAGATAACTCTAACTCTTATTCGTCCATTAACGCGTGCAAGTCAGCATTATCCTTTGTACTCCCCATCGACACTCGAGATGAGGGAATAATTAAAAGATACTTAAAAGGCATTTATAACCAAAGGCCACCAAGGCCAAAATACAATACAACCTGGGATCCTCACCCAGTACTGAGTCTGTTAGAAAATATGTTTCCTTTAAGTACTTTATCCTTAGAAAAGTTATCACATAAGTTAGTTACTTTGTTAGCAATTATTACGGCGCATAGAGTACAAACATTCTCAAAAATTAGATTAAGTTATATAAATCAGTTTGATGATAGGATCGAAATACTGATCCCAGATACCGTCAAAACTAGCGGGAAAAATAAATTTCAACCTGTGCTAAAGTTACCATTCTTTAGAGACAAACCAGGGTTGTGTTTAGCATCTACGGTTTTATTTTATCTAAACACAACTAAAAGCCTCCGCGCCGATAATAATGATTATTTAATACTGACACACAGGAAACCTTATCATACGGCCACAAGCCAAACGATAAGTAGATGGATCCGCTCGACTCTAAAATCCGCGGGTGTTGATACAAGCAAATTTTCAGGCCACAGCACTCGGCATGCCTCAACTTCGGCCGCATACCGAGGCGGAGTTAACATTGAGGAAATAAGAAAATATGCAGGATGGACTGAAAAATCAAACGTTTTTAATAAATTTTATAATAAACCAATATCAACACCGGCGGATCTCTTTGCAAAAGGGGTCCTCCAAGGATCCAGTATTACCTGTTAAAATAAGAGTTCCTTACTTTAAGATTTAGTGCGTTCTGTTCCTTGTAATTACGTTATATACCTATATGTTTGTTACAATGTAAACATACAGTTTAATGGTTATATTATTATATTTCGTTACACACCTTTAAAAGGTGCCTTTCCTATAAATATATACAAATTACTTAAGTATATATTATACAAAGCTTATAGGGAATAAAGCTATTTTCTAGAGATCGTCTTTTCATTCTCTAAACAGCTACTCTATTTGTATTCCTTTTATGTAGTACGAGGACAAAACTGAGAAGTGTAATTAACAGATCAAATGACTTACCTGTAGGAAATTTGATCCTAATTACACGATCAGTTTTGTCCGAAGTACTACATAACCCACGCCATCTTATAAAATAATAACAGTGATAATTAATATTATGTATGAACCACATCACAACTATACCTAGAGCCTTGGTCACTCCCACCCCTCACAAGCCGATCTCTTATCAAAACTTATAATGACATTGGTGGGGCGAGTCGCGGCGAGGACGGTGCGGAGCGGCGTTGCCACGTTTATTTTTGTATGTCGCACGGATTTCAGCAAGACAAGACTTACTCTATTTGTATTCCTTTTATGTAGTACTTCGGACAAAACTGATCGTGTAATTAGGATCAAATTTCCTACAGGTAAGTCATTTGATCTGTTAATTATATCATATTTGTGTATAAAAAGAGAGAAACTATTGTTTCGAAAACGAATCCACAATAAATGGAAACCTTGTTTCCAAAATGTTCCGAATTAGTGCTATTTGTGTAGAGATTTCGAACTAGTCACCTGTCAACAACGCCAATCAAAACTTCTGGTCAAAGTAATTTAAAAAATTGTATTTACTTATTATAACACAATTAATATATAAAATTCTGGAGAAAAAGAGAAAAAAAAACGTTTGCTGGTAACATTTTTCTTCGGTCTCCTGTTAGGTATGAGTAGTGGCTGTTATTACATTTATTCCTAAAACAAATCGTCTCTGTAATGCTTATAATAAATTATAAAATCGCATAAGAAAAATATCTGTATTCTGTATTTGTACTCAACGTATGTCCTTCTTTCTGTTTTTTTAATTATTGTACTATAAAAACTTAAATGCAAAAACCGCAGATCAAAACCCAAACAATAAAGTAGTAAGGTTATTTTCCCACATTTTACAGTTTATCAAATAAATTATGGAAACATTTCAGGCACAAAAACGGGTACGAAATCTGTAAATGTGAGCAACATCTGTTTCTTAAAAGTTTCGAAAAATTTGTGACATTAAGATCTTTATTGTAATAGCATACGTAGCGAAACCATAGGTTTGGTAAAATATTTGGAAACAAAAGGCGATTTATGTTACGAAACATATGTATCAAAAATGTGACGAAACTGTTTCATACTGTTTCTCAGCGGAGATTTTGTTTCGATTTTGTGTCTAAACATGCTACTTGTGTTAGACCGTTGGAGGATTCCCATTCCAGGTTACGGATGGAGTCATCCAGGTTCTTGAGGTCCGCTTTGTTACAAATGCAGAATACAGGTATAGTGACAGTGAAAAAATAGGGGATAAAAATATATTTATAGATAATAAGTTATATTCCTAAAAATTTAAATTTAATCTAGTGTTTCGATGCCGCTACCGTTTCCCATCATCGAGCAAATTTAAAACCAACAACCCCTTTATTCCGTTGTATGAGCCGCGTTGCGGAACTTTTTATCTAATTTAATAAGCACAGTAATTGATAGAGGAGGTTCGTCTGAATATACGGCAACGGTGCGCATAAAAAGGACTCTGAAAAGGGGAGCTTTAACGAGCGATGAAATTTTCCCGGCCGCTTCAAAAGCTCGCCGAGCATGTAGATCCAAATTGAAATACCTATAAAGATGTTTGTTCTATTTTTGACGTTATAATTTCAATTAATTTGACGGGAAACACAATTAAAACGGACCACACACCGTACGACATGTCGGACAATAAGTTGTTTCAAAGTATTCGAGGCTTACAATTCCACAGATTTTGTTCAAATCTGTATTGGTCTCTATTAGAGATTCTTATCCCGAATAATGGAATGTGAGTACACAGTTTTATCAGTATCAGTATGTTTAATACTTTCACTAAGAGAATAATTGAAGTGCTAGGAAGTAGTTTTTTTTGTCAGTGCTTGCCAGTTTTGAGGAAATATCAAGATATTGGCTTCCAAAACTAATTCTTTCTATATAGTTACACTAAAATGTTATTTATTTCATGAATAACAGTCGCCTCTGTTTGATCCAGGATTATTCAGATTTTTTAGATCTATTATGGTCCTCTTCTCATCCTTAGGTTACATTCTTTTTAGTCCTATCCTTTTCAAAAATTTAGCAACTAACTTGGAAACTGACCTCCATATAGCTCATTGACCCTCCATATAGCTCCATTATCAATGCCCCATTATGCTATGTACAGAGAACTGCACATTTGCTAGGCTGATGCATTGACATAAAATGTGTTCGGTTTTTCTTCTTTAGATTGACAGAAGCTGCACATGCTTATTTAACTTACAATGCCTTGTTAGTAGACCCAGTACGTCTCTTTTGAGCCTCTTTCTGTCTCTTTTGCTTATTAGGCCCGCTGTAAATTTTGGCGAATATTCTTCGCATAGCTTTCGGAACTTTTTCACCTGTCTATACCTTTGTGAATTTCTTTTTACAATTCTAGAGATTTGTTGACCTCCCAAAGTTTTGTGGTCACCCCCATGACTGCTCTTGCAACGCCGCAGAAGGATTCTGGGCCTATGGATGGCATTGACGTTTGGCTCTTGGGGCCTTGTATGGCTTTTTATCGTTTCTGATACATCAGAATACCGTAACTCATATGCTAAATAATACACCTAATGTTTGTCGGTCTCCAGAAAGCTTACCATAGCGTACCTGTCACTAAACTGTGGGAACCTCTTAAACTAACCAGATTAAATCACACACTTATATCAGCAATACAAAAGATTACCAAAAATTCTTGTTCCTTAATAAAAACCGGAAATAAAATATTAAAATTATTTAAAATATGAAAAGGATTAAGGCAAGGGTGTTGCTTCTCATTAACTCAACGCCAACCAAGTTATAAAACAGTGGAAGAGCAGGTGTCTAATTGGTATGCCTAATTGGTATTGCTATACCTAATTGGTATTTCCAGAGCCCATGCCTCTGGGCATACCAATTAGTGAAGATTCTTGCTTATACACTTTGCAATTCGCTGACGACCAGGTTATTTGTGCAGGAGGCAAAGATGACTTGGAATATATGACATGCAAACTTAAAGAGGAATACCAAGTTTGGGGACTGGATATGAATATCACAAAAACTAAGTATCTCTGCATTGGATTGAATCAAACAGCAATAAAACTTGATAACGAATATATACAAACATGTAACGAATACAAATACTTAAGCGTTATTTTTGATAAATCCGGGAAAGACGATAACGAAATAAACTCGAGAATAGTCAAGGCCAGAAATGAAATAAAATGCATGAATAAAATACAGAGTAGTGATGTGTCGGCATTTGAGTAACGCGATTTTGGATCGGTATTTTTTTGTAACGTCGTGTCGCGCTGCACAACGAATCAGGAAGCTGTTACTGATGAACGACGATCATAATGACGACAAAATTATAAATTATTTTAATATTGGAATTTTTATTTTTTATTGGAACCGTAGTAACCGCATAGCGACGTGTTTAGCTCCAGCCGTCGCGCTCCTAGAGCCTTAGTTCCGCCTGTCGCGAACAGAAGTTACTGGTAACTGCTGTAACTGATTATTGACGCTCGACCTCAGCGGCGGCGTAACTTCGCTCCAGCCGTCGCCCTCCTAGCGCCGTAGTTCTGTCTGTCGCGAACAGAAGTAACTGATCCCTGCTGTAACTAGCTATCGATGCTAGACCTCGGCGGCGACGTACTTCGTTCCAGCAGACGCTGGAGCGCTTCTAAGGTTCCGGTTTTGCCTGTCGCGATTTGGTCAGTTACTATTAAGTCGCTACGTTACTTTCGCAATAGCGATTTTTGGTATGTACTAGGCATGGTATAAAATAGCGTTGTTTGAAAGATGAAACGCAAAAGCAAATAAAATAAAATAAAAATATTTTATTTTCTTTTATACATTTATATAAGTTTTATTGTTTATATATATTTTTAAGATTAGGTTAGAGCAATAAACAATTTTTTTTGACAGTGGTTTGGACTTTGTTCTTGATTTTAACATTAAATATATTATATTGCAATACACATAAATATGAGCCGTTGATTTTATTTAAACGAAAATTGATGGAAAATAACAAGGAATGTCATCGTTTTTCTAAAAATGAGATAGGTTGGCTATACACAATTATAAACTCGATATTTGGAAAATGAGTGGCGGATAAAAGTTACATTAATCTTCAAATATAGATAAGATTTTTAGCGAGGTCCGCGACACTGTGGAAGTCGGAACCTCAGTTACAAAATCGCGGTATTTTGTCGCGGTATTTTTCTGGAACGGTCGCTATTGTAACGCGACTCATGTGGAACCGGTATTCCCATCACTACTCTGGAGTAACGAAATAGGTAAAGACAGAAAACTGAGGATTTATGGTACGATACTCAAGAGCAATCTGCTATTTGGGGCGGAAACATGGAGGTTAACCGAGAATAACAAAAGAAAATTACTGGCGGTCGAAATGGACCCGATAAGGAGATCAGCACGAATAACAAGGCTGGATAGAGTACTAAACGAGACCATAAGAGACAAAATGGGTAGACAGAAAGACTGTATAAAAATTTTACGTTTATTTACAATTCTTTATAACAAATAATATAAAAAGACTGTTTGATATACCGTAATGGTAAAATCTATAGTGTTATTTTTGTTTCAACAGTAATTCAAAATCTCATCTTCGTGCGTCCTCATATCTTTCATCGTAATTTTCATCTACATATTCGAGTTTAAATTTAAACTGCTACCTCTACTGCCACTGCCGAGAAAATGTACAATATAATTTTAGCATTTTCCAGGATGAAATACTCGGGTTTGAACGCTTAAAAAGACGCATGAGGATTTAAATCGTAGAGATATCGGTTAAATAGAGCATCGAAATGATAGTAGTGCGGAAGCAGTTTGTTTTACAGCACATCGTTTGCAAAATCGCGGAATTTTGCGGCTATTTAATAGCTTATGATTAGCCGAATCGTAAGAA